TCACCCAAATCACAGGCATTAAAGTACACCATTTAAACTTTACAAAAGTAAAACAATTCCATTAGGGAACCCCAATTAATTTAGGGTTCCCTCCCTCAAGTTAAATATTTGAAAATGCGATGTAACCCTAATGAAGTTTCTATTCAAGTGTAGATCTACCAAGTTGCTGTTAGCGCGACAAAAAATTATGAAAAAGAAATAATCTTTATTCAAATAAACTTAATATAAGCACTTTTGAATAGTCACAATTTTTTTTATTCTACCACTCATTCGGAATGCAGTCTTATCGTCACAAGAAGAATGAGCAAGAAACTTGTGTGTTGCTCTTTTAAATAAATATTGTTTTAATTATATTTACATTAACAAGGATTAGGCATGCGACAATCAACATAGAAACCGCTACGCACTTAATCTCTGTTCAATCAGATAACATGTTATTGATGATCTTGAGGTTTAATACTTTGTCACAATTCCTGGTTATCACGGGTTCGATACCCGACTGACGTCGGTGGTCTAGCAATTTAGCACGCCTTACTTCCGATGGTCGCTAGTTCGATTGCTCACATGGTAAAAACTTTTGTATTCGTGAATATGACTGCTTGTTTGTCTGGGTGTTTTGTTATGTTTTTTTTATATTACTATGGTGGCAAGTAAACATACGGCCCATCTGATGGTAAATGGGTACCGTAGCCTATGTATGCCTGAAAAACAAGGGGTGTCACGTGCGCGTTGCCGACCCTTAAGAAACCTTAATATACCCTTCTTGAAAAACCCCGTGCTATCTCGTGAGAAAACCTCGGCAGGAAGTTCATTCCACAATGTAAGTGTACGCTGGAGGAAGCTCCTCTGAAACCGCACTGTACGAGACCACTTAGGTTCCAGCGTGTAGGAATGAATTCCCTGTCGTATATATTAATTATGTAGAAAAAAGTATTTATTTTAGTTACTTAGTACCTAGTAACCATAACACAAGCTCTGTTAGCTCAGGACTTGATGGCTTTATGTGAATTAGGAAGATTATATACCTATATATATTTTTTTTATGGATGATAATGGTGCGCTAACGGTTTACGCTAACGAGGCATCAGAGGATGATAAGATGAGCATGAGGTCAGGTCAGTTAGCCCATCGTTACAAATTCACCATAAATTTATGACGATGGTTTCCAGGGGGAACCGCGTGGAGGTTAACCTGACATGGTACATTGCTAGCAATGAGATCATCAGTCCACATTACTAACAATCCCCTTTCCTCCAGGAAGATTATATTTATCTTATCTATTCGCTTATATCTTTTAAACTACGCAACAGATTTTAATGCAGTTTTAGCAAGTGATAGAGTGATTTGAGAGGAAAGTTTATATGTATAATACATGTACACTCGTACGAAGTAGGGGCGGGTAGCTAGTCCTTACTAATATTATAAATGCGAAAGTAATTTTGTCTGTATGTCTGTCTCTTCACGCAAAAGCTACTGGATCGATTTACATGAAATTTGGTACACAGATAGACTAGATAGACCTTGGGAAAGGACATAGGCTACTTTTTGCGGCGATAAAAGGGTTTAAAAGGGGGGATGAAAGTTTGTATAGAAATATCGTAATTTTTAAAGCTAGAAGCTTGAAAGTTATTTTTTAGGCTGTTGATTAAATATAAATAAATGTGACATTCAAAGTTTGCAAATAAATTTGCCTTAAGGGAGTAAAATAAAATAGGGGATGAAAGATTGTATGGAAAATTATGTTATTTATGAAGCTGGGTCAATGAAACTTTCTTCTTTGGCTTTTTTTGGGTTAGAATATTGATTCTATTCATTATTTGGTCAAGGTCACACGTAGACGAAGTCGCAGGCACAGCTAGTATATAATAAAGCGATACAATTCACAAACAAACCAGCTTCGAGGATATTCATTACAATAAAACATAACGACGTTATTAAACATCTAGTTGCCAAAGACGTATAAAAGTATCCCCCAAGATTACCCAATAACTCTGGATGGCGAGTGTTGGCAATAACCGGTTAAAGCTGGTAATAACTGGCAACACCGTCTGAAGGAAACGGTATGAATTTATCAGCAGATACGGAACCCTACGTGAATAACGTGAATGTTTAAGTAAATTAACGTTAGATTAATCTTATATATAAAATTCTCGTGTCACAGTTTTCGTTCCCATACTCCTCCGAAACGTCTTGACCGATTCTCATGAAATTTTGTGAGCGTATTCAGTAGGTCCAAGAATCGGCCAACATCTATTTTTCATCCCCCTAAATGTTAGGGGTAGTCCACCCTTAAATTTTATTTTATTTTAAGGCTAAACATCGTTTGCCGGGACAGCTAGTATAATATATGATATGATGTGATGTAATGTCATATGTGTGTGATATTACTATAACGATTACTTGAATGACGAGCGTGCATGGCAATAGTTGTTCATGCACGGGATTTTCATTTAATGTTAGACATAGACACATATATAAATACACAATGTAAATAAACTGGCTTTTAAAAAAAAAGTAATTCAATTGAGTTTCTTGCCAGTTCTTCTCAATTGGATCTAGACTGGATCGTAGGGAAAAAAATTTAATTATAATATTAAAAATTTAACGTTCATAAGCGGCTACAAGTCCTACATGAAATTTGATACGATACGATACGATATCAGAGCAACACACAAGTTTCTTGCTCATTCTTCTTGATGAGTTTGTATTCCGAATGAGCGGTAGAATAAAAAAAAATACTATTCAAAAGTGCTTATATTAAGTTTAGTGGAATAAAGATTATTTCTATTTCTATGATATGATATGATGTGATGTTATGTGATGTGATGTGATGTGATGTGATGTGATATGATATGATTTGATTTGATATATCTCAGGACAATACAAATAATAACACAACGCCATCTAAGAACATAAAATTAAAAAGCTTAAAAAAATGTAATATGATACTAAAATATATTATAAATTTTTAGGCAACGTCATGAAGATTAAACCAGCGTTCCCTCTTTGAATAGCTAGACTACCCAGGCGGTTGTTTATGATATGATTTGATATATCTCACAATATAAATAATAACAAAACGCTATTGGGATACTAATGTAAAACATAGAATACATAGATACATTACATGTTACATTGAGCACAAAAAGTAATAGATCAGCTCTCCGTGTAATTCCTATTGGGAATGATTTCGTGAAGATGTCGTAATATCCCTTTTGTCATATAAGAGGCGAATATATAGGACTCGATGGAGTAAATTATGAAAGGTAATTGAATTATAAAGCTTCCCTCAATCTGCTACGACGTAAGTAGGTTGACAACATATAGGTGTAGTTTATTGATATATTCAACACATAATCTGTATTATTCTAAATACAGTAGACCCGCGGTAATCCGGCCCCTGTCTTATCCGGCCCCCTTTGTAATCCGACATGGTCTATTATTTATTATTGAATCTTTTTTGACAATCGTCGCTGTTTGGGAAACTACTCTGCTACCATGTTAAGTAAATGTTAGGGAATATATAGGGGGATTTAGTGTGTCTGGCGTACCTGTATGGTTCTGCGGATTTCTTTGGCTTCAGGGTCTCGAAGATATCTTCGCTAACTTTCACACACTTTCACAGTAGGTTTAACACAATAGGTTTCCAGTTCTAATTTATTTCAATTCACAAAAAATGCGCGCGCGCGTCAAGGCCGCTGTACGGTCAGTTTGTTACTAGTTAAGGGAGGGGAAGGAAAGACGCGGGAACAGAAAACTAACGGACTTTAATATAATAATCTGTGCTTACGATGGTATAGGGTAGATTTTGAACATAGTTCCCGCTCTAAACAGTCGCTAATGCATGATTGAACAAGTTTGACCTAGTCTTGTATATGTCACCACTGTTATACTCGACGCGTATTTGATTATGATTGCTTAGTTGAATTTGACTACTTCCATGTGATGAAGATAGTGGTGTTCATTGTTTACTGCCTTTTTTCATTATGTATTGCCTATCAGTTCAGAAGCGAAAGCACAAAACACTGACAATTCAAGAAACAGGTGATATTTTAGACCACCTAATTCATAACGAATCTTTTAGTAGTTAACATACATAATGAAGTAATATTTGTACTTCAAAGTGCATATACATACATATATAACATAGAACTTATCACTGGACCTGTAATTTGTCGGATTACAAGGTACTCTTTTGTAAAAAAAATCCGGACTATAGGGGACCCCTTAGGCCCCCTCTATGATCCGACAAATTCGATTGTGCGACACTACCCTGCAAAACGATTGTCGGATAACCGCGGGTCCACTGTATGTACAAAATTTATTTAAAAAAAAAATACATAAAACAATGTTGGTAAATAAGTTAATTATTATTATTATTATTATAGATAAGTTCTCTAATCCTGTATAAACTCATTTGAAAAGATTAAGAGCTGAGTTTCTTGTCAGTTCTTCTCATCTCGAAATCATTCCGAACTGACGGTAGATTTGACTAATCATAAGAGTCTGTAATAGACCTATATGAATAAAGATGTTTTGAATTTGAATTTGAATTGCAAACAGAGTAAATAAATAACCCTGGACAATAAACACAGCGCCATCTACACAATAAGCAGAGCTTGTGTTATGGGTATTAGACAACTGATATAAATATATAGATATTATTATTTCTTTGTAAATACAAACATTCACACACCGCCTTCTAGACCCAAGTTAAGCTAACTAAAGCTTATGTTATAGGTACTAGATAACTCATACAAATAAATAGATATATATATTTCTGTAAATACATACATAATATACACAGAAAACACCCAGATCGATACAAACAATCATAGTCATGAATACAAATGTTTGTATCGTGAGAGGAATCGAACTCGCGACCATCGGAAGTAATGTGTTAAATCACTGGACCACCGAGGCCGTCCCTTGTAAAATGTACCCCAACTTTGGGAAAAAAAACTATATTATTATTAAAAGTAGAAGGGGGAAGTACTTACATGGATGTTATGCTGCTCAGGATCCAGCTTCTCCGTTCCATTGTACCACTCGATCTTGGCTGCTGGTCTAGCTCCTGATGCTGTGCACATGAGAGTCAGTAGCGTGCCTTGTGTTGCATGTTCCCCCACGCCCGATATGAAGGCTTTATTCGGTGGCACTGTAACGTAACGTAATATTAATTAAAATTATAATTTAAGTGCAATGATGGCTGGCTCATCCGTCATACTCGTGAACGGGTGCCGATTGTAGGGACTGGTTTGTTCCGGCTACGAATACTGATTAGGCTATTTGAATTTAAAAATGAATCTGTATTATTGTAAACTTGTACAACATTTATTTGAAAGGAATACGTTAACAATCATCATGACGGTAGATTTGACATATCATAAGAGTCTGTAATAGACCTACATGAATAAAGATATTATGAATTTGAATTTGTATATTTCAAGGGGCAAGGTATCGAAGTATCAGACACGAATGAGCAACACGCAAGTTTCTTGCTCGTTCTTCTTGTGATGAGTCTGCAGTAATGAGTTGTAGAATAAAAAAATATGACTATTCAAAATGAATGAATATTATTTCTGATTGATAATGCTCGAGAAAAAGCAATAGTTGTAGAAAATAATAAAGGAACCCCATAAAAATCATTTACAGTATTTTTTTTTGTTTCATGTAATCAACAGCATATATATATAATTTATACACCATATATAGTTTTATATAGTAAAGAAACTAACAAGAAACTCAATTGAATTACTTTTTTAAAGCCATTTTATTTACAATGTGTATTTATTGAGGCGTCTACATCTACGAAGCTTTTAGTTTACAATGTGTATTTATTGTCAGTTCTTCTCAATCTCGAATTACTTTTTTAAAGCATTTTATTTACAATGTGTATTTATTGAGGCGTCTACATCTAACAAACTAACAAGAAACTCAATTGAATTACTTTTTTAAAGCCATTTTATTTACAATGTGTATTTATTGAGGCGTCTATCTAACAAACTAACAAGAAACTCAATTGAATTACTTTTTTAAAGCCCTTTTATTTACAATGTGTATTTATTGAGGCGTCTACATCTAACAAACTAACAAGAAACTCAATTGAATTAAAAGATTTTATTTACAATGTGTATTTATTTGAAACTCAATTGAATTACTTTTTTAAAGCCATTTTATTTACAATGTGTATTTATTGAGGCGTCTACATCTAACAAACTAACAAGAAAATTACTCAATTGTTACTTTTTAACAAACTAAAAGAAGTATTTATTGAGGCGTCTACATCTAACAAACTAACAAGAAACTCAATTGAATTACTTTTTTAAAGCCATTTTATTTACAATGTGTATTTATTGAGGCGTCTACATCTAACAAACTAACAAGAAACTCAATTGAATTACTTTTTTAAAGCCATTTTATTTACAATGTGTATTTATTGAGGCGTCTACATCTAACAAACTAACAAGAAACTCAATTGAATTACTTTTTTAAAGCCATTTTATTTACAATGTGTATTTATTGAGGCGTCTACATCTAACAAACTAACAAGAAACTCAATTGAATTACTTTTTTAAAGCCATTTTATTTACAATGTGTATTTATTGAGGCGTCTACATCTAACAAACTAACAAGAAACTCAATTGAATTACTTTTTTAAAGCCATTTTATTTACAATGTGTATTTATTGAGGCGTCTACATCTAACAAACTAACAAGAAACTCAATTGAATTACTTTTTTAAAGCCATTTTATTTACAATGTGTATTTATTGAGGCGTCTACATCTAACAAACTAACAAGAAACTCAATTGAATTACTTTTTTAAAATTTTATTTACAATGTGTATTTATTGAGGCTCTACATCTAACAAACTAACAAGAAACTCAATTGAATTACTTTTTTAAAGCCATTTTATTTACAATGTGTATTTATTGTTTCTATTCAATTGAATTACTTTTTTAAAGATTTTATTTACAATGTGTATTAGGCGTTATCTAACAAACTAACAAGAAACTCAATTGAATTACTTTTTTAAAGCCATTTTATTTACAATGATTTATTGACGAGCTCATCATTTTATTTACAATGTGTATTTATTGAGGCTCGAAACTCAATTGAAAAAAGCCATTTTATTTACAATGTGTATTTATTGTCTACATCTAACAAACTAACAAGAAAATTGAATTACTTTTTTAAAGCCATTTTATTTACAATGTGTATTTATTGAGGCGTCTACATCTAACAAACTAACAAGATCAAAATTACTCATTTTATTTACAATGTATTTTTTTTCTAACAAACTAACAAGAAACTCAATTGAATTACTTTTTTAAAGCCATTTTATTTACAATGTGTATTTATTGAAGCGTCTACATCTAACAAACTAACAAGAAACTCAATTGAATTACTTTTTTTTAAAGCCATTTTATTTCCAATGTGTATTTATATAGGTGTCTACATCTAAGAAACTGGCAAGAAACTCAATTGAATTACTTTTTTTTTAAAGTAATTTTATTTTCAATGTGTATTTATATAGGTGTCTACATCTAAGAAACTGGCAAGAAACTCAATTGAATTACTTTTTTTTTACAAAAGGTACATAGACTGTTTCCCAAGTATTCTCTACATAACATTGCTAATCGCCACCCAAAACTTGGGACAGTGCCCCAGGGTCCCATTCTGTGTTCCACTCATATCATGTCCCGTTATATAGCCGTGTCGGACAAGCGTCGTAAAATAGTTCCCGGACTTGCGATTTTTTTATGCCATTGGGAATAAGTGTTATTGAGTCTACAAAATTGGGGCGGAAGATATATGATTTAGAAGATGCATCTATATTGGGCATTTTTCATTTCCGTGACTGAGGTTTATTGGTTACTAGCTTCCCACCCCGGCTTCGCACTGATGTACATGTATTATACATATAAACCTTCCTCTTGAATCACTCTATCTATTAAAAAAACCGCTTCAAAATCCGTTGCGTAGTTTTAAAGATTTAAGCATATATAGGATCGGACAGACAGCGACAGCGACTTTATTTTATACTATATAATGACTAGTGAGGGAACTTTATTTTTCTAAAATAAAAAGTAGCCTGAGATACTCCTTATTACATCAGCTAAAAGACCCGTCAAAATCGGTTCAGTCATTTCAGAGATTATCCCGACCAAACAGACAGACAGACAGAAAAAAAAATATTATTTTGGTGTTACATACATCATTATACACCATTATTTATATTCATATGCATGTATGTAGTAAAAAACGGTTATTTCAATATTACAAACAGACACTCCAATTTTATATATATATGATATTGTACGTATCAAATAGCATATAGAATTATACCTCCAACATTCAAGATAGACCTATCTCAATTACAGAGTACGTCGATTGGCTTTGATAAGTGGATTCATATGGGGGAGAGTAATTTCTGGCAAATGAAATTATTTTTTCCATTACGAAAGCTGAAAGCTTCAGTAATTAATAATATATTACGAGTACTGGAGTTTCATAACAATAGTCTGGTTCGAGATTATCGTTTAATATAACATATAAACATATAAACAAATTGGAGTGTCTGTATGTAATATTGCATTTCATAACAATAGTGTGGTTCTAGATTATCGTTTAATTTAACATATAAACATATAAATAAAATTGGAGTGTCATATAAATAAAATAGTGTGGTTCTAGATTATCGTTTAATTTAACATATAAACATATAAATAAAATTGGAGTGTCTGTATGTAATATTGCGTTTCATAACAATAGTGTGGTTCTAGATTATCGTTTAATTTAACATATAAACATATAAATAAAATTGGAGTGTCTGTATGTAATATTGCGTTTCATAACAATAGTGTGGTTCTAGATTATCGTTTAATCTATACATATAAATAAAATTGGAGTCTCTGTTTGTAATATTGAAATAAATTTTTTTACTACATGCATATGAATATAAATACGGTACATACGCCAAAATAAATTTTTTTACTATTTTCGTCTATCTGTTTGTTCCGGTTAATCTCTGAAATGGCTGGACCGATTTTGAAGGGACTTTTTTTGAAATAACTTAACTTTTATTTTAGAAAAAATCCACGCGGATCAAGTAGCGGATACATCTAGTCTATACATATAAATAAAATTGAAGTGTCTGTTTGTAAGATTGAAATAACCGTTTTTTACTACATACATTCATATGAATATAAATAATCGTGTATAAATAATGGTGAACATATAACAAAATAACATTTTTTACAATTTTTGTCTGTCTGTTTGTTCCGGCTAATCTCTGAAATGGCTGGACCGATTTTGCTGGGACTTTTTTTGGCAGGCAGATAATATAATAAGGAGTAATATAGGCTACTTTTATTTTAGGATAATAAAGTTAAATTCCATGCAGAACAAGTCACAGGGACAGCTAGTATTTAGCATATTTTAAGTAAAAAAACGCGTTATTAGTTAGTACTTAAATATTGATTATGTATTAAACGTAAACATAATACTGTGGAGGGGTAGTGAATTAATTCAGTGAGTGCAGAGAGGGTTGGTGGCGTGTTGGACATCGCTCGCGCCCTGAAGGCTTCAGTTGCCGATATTGCAAGGTGGTAAAATGTCCGACCCTATTACTTCTAGTGATGTAACGATATCGATATATCTTATTTACTATCTGTACCCGCGATTTCATCCGCATGGAATTTAACTTTATATTTCTATAATAAAATTAGCCTAAGTTACTCCTTATTACATCAGCCATCTGTCAAAAAAAAGTCCGGTCAAAATCGGTCCAGGCATTTTTAAGAGATTAGCCCGAAAAAACAGACGGACAGACAGGCAGACAAAAATTTAACTTAAAAAAAATTACACAGCGCCATCTAGTAGCAAACTAAGCCGAGCTTGTGTTATCGGTACTAGACAACTGAAAGAAATATTTCTTTGTAAATATTCAGATACAAAAATAATGCGCATGAATTCAAATGCACAGTGCGAGAAATCGAATCCAAGACCATCAAAACTAAGAATAGAATAGAATAGAAAATCATTTATTCAAATAAACTTACATTGAAGCACTTTTGAATAGTCATAACATTTTTTTTTTAATCTACCGCTCATTCGGAATGCTGTCTCATCACAAGAAGAACAAGCAAGAAACTTGTGTGTTGCTCTTTTAAATAATTTATTCTTACTTACAATTTAAGTTTAAGTATGTGAATACAAACCACCGATTAGCACTAATTCAATGAAATAATAAAATAAAAAAAACATTCTATATACAACAACTGGTTAAACAATCAATAAGAGAAAATAAGTCATAGTGATTAGAGCAGACCAGTCCACACAAGCAGCACCCGTTCACGAGTATGACGGATGAGCCAGCCACCATTGCACTCGACCATATTTTAGGGAGCCCAATGACCCGGCCCACCACGCCGCCACAAGTCTGGACATTTTAGTGAGCATGACTACTCAAAACACCAGACCACGTCATAGCTACTCACAATTGCCATCTGATGGTTATAGTATTCACATTTCACATAAGAATGCATGCGGCAATCAATACAAAAACCGCTACGCTTTCATATTTCTAAAATAATTGAATCAAAAAAGCAATGAGATAAACAAATTATAACGTTGTATGCTAATAAACTAATTATTTACTTGATATGTTGTCATCTATGAACTCGTCTATCCTGTAATAGGCTTTCTTACATAAAAATTGTTTAATATAAGATTTGAATTGCCTCTCTATCTATGTGTAGTGTCTCTGTGTGTAAGAGTTGCTAAACCGCTAGATAACCGAATCCGTTAAAGACATTTAACTTTTAACTCTAATAAAACCGTAACTCTATTCAATACAATACAATTACCAATAGATTTCACAGCATTGAAACCCTACACAAGTGTTATTGGGTCATAAAACAACATCAGTTTATAAGAGGTCATAAATGTCCAAGTTTATCGATAACAAACCTATCGACATGCACCCATCTCTATGATACACTATCTTGCCACTTATTAGCTATACGCTCTCGCAATTTATCGGGTGGGCCCTGAAAATTGCTCGCCAGTGTAGTACCGGAGTTAGTTAAGTGATGGCTTAATGTGCCCTTATATGTAAAATATAGGGGGTAGATTCGCTATATTTTACTACCACCAGCCTTGTATCCAGGGTATTAATTAATTGGAGGTTTTATTTATTAGTGTTATGTCCTACAATAACTTAGTGAGCAAATTTATAGTGTTTTTCTTAGTTACACTTAGTTTTTTATAGATTTAAAAAAGGAGATCCATTTACTACCCGATTTGAACCTATAACTGTGTCATTTTAATAATAATAATACATGCCGCATAGTCAGATTTCAAATTTCTACACTCATCATCATCTGCTTCTTCCTTATCCCATTTATTTGTGGTCGTCGTAATATGTTTTTCTTTTCCATTCATCTCTGTTCGCAGTCATCTCGTTATTTACTCCCTTTCTCACCATATCATCTTTCACACAGTCCATTCATCTCTTTTTCGGTCTTCTTCTACCCTTATAACCATCCACATTCATATGTAACACTGTCTTTAGGATATGATCTTCATTCCTACGCATTACATTCCCACCTTATACATTATATGCAACGGTATAAAAAAAAACTTATACCTGTTCAAGTTTAAGTCCATCCCTGTTAAAACCCAATATCATACCAGCACTATCAATGACAAGTAATAGTCTAAATATTCGAGTATTTCCGTTTGACGTAAGCAAGTCGATTATTAGTAGCCCACGCTTTATTAGTAGCCCACGCTTCAAATTTGGGTCTAAGTTTGTAGACTTGACCTTTATAATATATTTGTTTACTTTACGCAAAATGATATTTAATATTCGTTAAGGGTAGTGGAATGTAAGTGACGTGGACTAATAGTACCATTGCTAAAATATAGATAGAAAACACCCAGAGCGATACAAACAATCATAGTCATGAATACAAATGTTTGCACCGTGCGAGGAATCGAACCCGCGACCATCGGTAGTTAGACGGTGTGTTAAACCGTTATCCACAGATCCCGTCATTATTACATTTCACGTTAATAAAACGCTTTCGAGAAACCTTCAATATATTGTATTACTATCAATTGAATTAAAAAAAGTAACTTATCTTACAGATCTGCAAAAGAAATCTGCCAAAATTATTCCATTCAAGTCATAGTATATTTTTGTCTAAGTTAAGTGAGTTAAGGTAACTAATTCCGAGAAAATGTAAGTGAAATATCCTTGGAAAGAAAGTATTTTAGGCGAAAAGAAATTTAAACAGATTAAATTAATTGAACGAGACAAGGGAGTGTTGGATGAATATAGACGAATTTGTGATTAAAACTTTAATTAATAGGACATTCGTTGTATGCATGACTGAAATTAATTATCCACGAATAAATATTATTAATAAGGGCAAAATATCCAGCTAGGTAGGTCTAATTTAGAGAAACAGGTCAATCGTTGAATCCAACTCGGATGGGCAGCGTTCGGGAAGCTCCGATATATCTTTTCGTCCAAATTTCCGCAGTGTCTCAAGACGAAGGTTTACGGCCAATGTGTTGCCAGTGATGACTTACGGCATTGAGACGTGGTCGCTAACTATGGGCCTCGTGAACAAGCTCAGAGTCACTCAGAGGGTAAAGAGGGCTATGCTTGGAGTTTCTCTGCGTGATCGAATCAGATCCGCAGAGGAACCAGAGTGACCGAAATTGCGACACTGATGTGGCAATGACCAGGGCACATAGCTCGTAGGACAGATGGCCGTTGATGCAATAAAGTCCTCGTGTGGCGATCACGGACCGGAAGATGCAGCATGGGAAGGCCTCCAGCAAGGTAGACCAACGATCTGGTCAAGATCGCTGGAAGGCGATAGATGAGAGCAGCGCAGGACACATAGTCGTGGAGATCTTTGAGGGAGGCCTATGTCCAGGAGTGGACGATGATTAAAATAATAATTAATATTAGTATAGATTTATACACCTATGGTACATAACAAACTATATAACCCGCGCAACTTCGTCTGCGTTTCATTTCCCCACCTTCAGCAATATTTTTCATTGCAGCCTCACTCCTATCGGTCGTAGCGTAATGTTATATAGCATTAAGCCCTCCTGACAAATGAACTATCCAACACAAAATAGTTTTTCAATTCGAACAAGTAGTTCATGAGATTAGCGCGTTCAAAGAAGCAAATAAAACAAATTCTTCAACTTTATAATATTAGTATACTCATACATTAATGATGAAACAAATTCATTAGTTATTGATTAGGTATGAAGATAAACACCATAGTCTTCTGGAATAATAAGGCAATTTATAGTTCGTGTGTGATTCAGTTATTAGGCCCACAGGTTTATCTACGTTGACTATTCTTCTGAACTGGTCAGATGATCACCACACGTTGTAACCTGTGTTCTGGGACAATGGTTTCGAATGTGCTTCCTCCCGGGTACACTTGGATTGTGGAATGAACTTCCTGCCGAGGTTTTCTCGAGAGACTTCAGTATGGGGTTTATCAAGAAGTATACTAAGATTTCTTAAGGATCGGCAACGCGCACGTGACACACCTGGTGTTTCAGGCGTCTATAGGCTACGGTAACCCTTTACCATCAGATGGGCCGTATGCTTGTTTGCCACTTATGTAGTATAAAAAAATAGTTTATGTATAATTCATTACAGATCCTGGATCTAGATCTTCATTTACGATGACAATGCTTCTGAGCTAAAATGAATTATCATGTTAAACATTGGATAAGTAAAAAACTCAGATATATAAAGTAGCTCTTCTATTTGAAAGTCGGCAAAAATATACAATTAGGGGCTTGTAAATCTATAAAACATGTAGCAACAGTTTAATTCCACAATTTTTTACAATCGACCCATAAAATTTCCACCCTGAAATCCAAATTAAGCGTTAATTTTGATTCCCCTTAACTCGCCGACTTTTTCCTGTTTAATTTGGCAAGCGAATAAATTTTCATTAAGAACTGCCCTGATACTATTTAATTAATGGCCGTAATTATAGAACAGCGCTCTCTGAATGTGATAAGAGAAAAAAACTGCAAGAGATCACTTGTCTGCTGACGTTAGCTCGGTTTACTTGATGTGCTCTCTAAGTATTTGTATTGTGTAGACTTTTCTGTTAAATAAACAAGTGTTAATATTTCTCGGTGGTATAGAGGTAAAGCACACCGTCTTACTTACAATGGTCGCAGGTTCGATTTGTCACACTTGTCAAAAGTGTACTTCAGTTAACATGAATTATACTTGCAGTGTAGTTTAAATTTCAGTTACAAGATATAGTGGTAATAGAAACTTAAAAGTTGTCACAAACACTACAATTTAATACGAACTTGTGAAATGTTTTTTTTTATCTGTTATGATAGTCTAGTAATAAGATGGACGTCACTAGCTGTGTGCTTATATTTGTAACCACGTCATTAATCCTAACTAATATTATAAAAATCCGAAAAAGGGTTGTAAGTGGTTGAAAGGGGCAATGAAGTGTTGTACAGAAATATCGTCGTTTTTAAAGCTAGAAGCTTAAAAAATATTATTTAGTTTGTTGATTAGATATAAAAATAAAAAGGGTTGTAAGGGGTTGAAAATAGGGATGAAAGATTGTATGAATGGTATCGTCATTTTTAAAGCTAAAAGCTTAAAACATATCTTTAGGCTGTTGATTAAGTGTAAATAAATGTGACAATCAAAGTTTGTGAAAATGTTAAAAATAAAATTGGGGATGAAACTTCGTCAGGACATTAATTTTTGAAGCTTTGCTAAGAAATATCCATGAACTATTTTTTAATTTTCAGTTAGATTATTAAATACTATTTCTTTCTTTGATCAAGGTCACTAGTCCACACGGACGAAGTCACGGGCACAGCTAGTAACTTAATCAAATATATTATTTTGAATTAATAATAATTAAGTATATAATTTGGTCAAATTAATATAATATCAACTAACCTTCCACGTCTAGTAACACTTTTCTCACAATTGGTTCGTCTAACGCCGCCGATGAGACTATACACTTCAGCTCGCCTCCCAGCTCCGCCCGCGTGACCGTCAGAGGCAGGACATGTTGGAACGTCGTCGCATTTGGAGTTGTTGTTTGCGCTGTAACAAATCAATACATAAATATTTTGAAACACTCAATATGAATCAAAATTCGTTTATTCAAGAGACCATTTTAGCTTATGAACCCGCGACTGTCGGAACTAAGGTAGTAATATAGTAGTAGATGAATCACGATGATACAACAGTAACAGGTAATTTTTATTTTTATTTTTTGTCATGCTCACTAAAATGTCCAGACTTGTGGCTGCGTGGTGGGCCGGGTCATTGGGCTCCCTAAAATATGTTCGAGCGCAGTGATGGCTGGCTCATCCGTCATACTCGTGAACGGATCCTGCTTGTAGGGACTGGTCTGCTCTAATCACTATGACTGATTCCCTCTTATTAATTATTTAACCAGTTGGTTACATAGTCAATATTTTTTCTATTTGAGTATTTAATTGAATTAGTGCTAATTGATGGTTTGTACACACTTAAACTTAAAAATGTAAAGTAATAACAAAATTATTTAAAAGAGCAACACGCGAGTTTCTTGCTCGATCTTCTTGTGATGAGACAGCTTTCCGAATGAGCGGTAGATTAAAAATATGTAATGACTATTCAAAAATGCTTTAATGTAAGTTTATTTGAATAAGTGATTTTCTATTCTATTATCAATGCTAATTACTTCATTTATATAATACTAACTGTTCCGGCAAACGTTGTTTTGCCATTTTATTTCGACAGCCTCGGTGGTCTAGTGTTTTAGCACACCGCTGTATTATCCGATGGTCGTGGGTTCGATTCCTCGCACGACACAAATATTTGTATTCATGAGTATGATTGTTTGTATCGGTCTGGGTGTTTTCTATGTATAATATATGTATGCATTTACAAAAAAATGTATCCATGTATTTATTTGTATCAGTTTTCTAGTACCAATAACACAAGCTCTGCTTAGCTTGGGACTAGATGGCGTAGTGTCAATTGTCCTGAAATATTATTATTATTTTTTCATTTTTTCTCTTGTTTTATATATTTAAAAGAAGGTAATACTCACCTACATGGGCCTTGGCCAAGTGTGGGAGAGGTTGTGCTGTGTGAAGATATTATTATTTTAATTTAGGTATTAATATCGCTTTTAAAAAATAGGGGTTGGTGGTAGAAGGGTGAAAATTTAGGGTTGTATATATTTTAAAAGCCACTCGCATAGTCTGTATTAGTCCTAATAAGTACACAATATAATAAAACGGATATGGTATGCTATAATTCACTACCAATGTACACCAATTGCCATCTGCTGTCTATACGTGCCCCTATGGGGCGGTAGTAAATTGATGAGTAATTTATCCGAAAACACACCCTCTTTCTACCCTCGACATTGACGGATAATGTGAAAAAGTGGCCAAATTACATCTGAAGTTTGCTAGTATTATGTTATCTGTGGTTTGCACGTCTTTTTTATGTGGATAGTCAAGTAAGAATCGATGAAGAAGTGTAAATACTATTCTCTGAGAAAGACAACCCCGGATTCTTCAATTTCGAATTGAAGAATAGAATAGAATTCTTCTGGGTTAGCGCTACATCCTAGCAATCTCTTTATTAATAAAAAAAAATGTTTTATACCAAGTCTTTTATATAATATTATAGGATTTTATTACCTTACCTAAATGTCGTTTAACTAAATTTAGTAATTCGTTTTACGGTAATTGCGTAAGGTTTTACAACAAAATATCAGAGTCTGTTATAAATCTGACTGAAAATAAATCTTAAATGTCGTATTAAACATTTCCTTTTGTAAAAAAGCTTACTATGAAATTTAAGGGTTCGTTAACGATAATAATGTTTTTGTAGAAATACTTAAAATTCATAGCGCTGACAATATTATCTGATTGCAATAATGAATGAGTACGTAGCGGTTCTATGTTGATTATCGCATGCCTCTTATATATACTCGTATGTATACACCACGGACGTCTACAGAGTTTAGGTAACAAATATGTATGTTTACAAAATTACATATATATGTACATATATGTATATATATATATATGTTTTGGTATTAATATTTAAGTTTCTCTCTCACACATAGATACACACACACACACACTACACACACACACACAAACATAAATACACACACACACAAGCATCACCTTTGAAATATAATATAAAAACACCGAATATAAAAATAAAGATAAATTCAAACAGGAAAAACATCATTTCGTGTCGTGAACAACCCGTTTCAAAATGCGCTGAGGACGATATATCACGGACAGGTATCAGGTGTTGAACAAAGACTAACATAGATCATAGCGCGTTACTCTATTACGGAGAATGAGAAAGTATCAGCACACAGCAGGGGGTGCTGCAGGGGTTGACAGGGGGGGGGGGGGGACACGAGTGATGGGAGATCAAGTCGAGGCTGGAATGGACGGTACATTATTTATCTTGTCCCCGCTTCTATATATATATATATATATATCTTAACTAGCTACTCGCCCCGACTTCGCACGGGTGTACATATATTATACATATAAACCTTCCTCTTGAATCACTCTATCTATTAAAAAAAACCGCTTCAAAATCCGTTGCGTAGTTTTAAAGATAGGGGACGGACAGACAGCGACTTTGTTTTATACATTACTAGCTACTTGCCCCGGCTTCGCACAGGTGTACATGTATTATATATATAAATTCCTAGTGAATCACTATTATCTATTAAAAAAAACCGCTTCAAAATCCGTTGCGTAGTTTTAAAGATTTAAGCTTAAATAGAGACGGACAGACAGCGACAGCGACTTTATTTTATACTATGTAATGATTAATTCATAATTTAAAAACGACGCTCTTGTCGTTGGAGCTCTTGCTACTTTACGACAAGACTCCAATTTTGTCTTTAATTTTAATACTACTAGCTGTCCCGGCAAACGTTGTTTTGCCTTAAAATAAAATAAAAAATTTAGGGGTGGCCTATCCCTGACATTTAGGGGGATGAAAAATAGATGTTGGCCGATTCTCAGACCTATTCAATACGCTCACAAAATTTCATGAGAATCGGTCAAGCCGTTTCGGAGGAGTATGGGAACGAAAACTGTGACACGAGAATTTTATATATAAAATAAATAAAGTCAGAGTATATTATTCTAGTATTATATTCTCATTTAATTCTAACAAGGTGCTTGGAGCCTGGAGTCTTGGAGTCAGAAATAGAAAAAAGTTACCAACCCAAAAATCGTAATCTTATAAAATTGCAAGAATATCGTAAAATTGTAAGTGACATCGCTGTTTCTTTGTTGCACCATATCTTGGATTTCTGGATGATAATAGAATGGTTCATCAGTGAAGGATGATGAGATGGGCATTAGGTCAGGTCTAACTGACCTGACCTCATGCCCATGACCATATCTTGGATTTCTGGATGATAATAGAATGGTTCATGAGTGAAGGATGATGAGATGGCCATGAGGGCAGTTAGCCCTTCATGGAAAATCCACCATGAATTAATCACGTTTCCAGGGGGAACCACATGGAGGTCAGCCTGATATGGTACTTTGCCAGCAATAGGGTTATTAGTCCACATTACTAATGATCCCCTTCCCCCCATTATACCATATCAGATCGTTCTTACCTCAGTTTCCTCTGGAAATCATTGTAGTTCGGTTAGATTGGATAAATTACGTACTCAATAAAATACTCATCCGGGAACCCTTCTGCGCCTGAGGGTACAATGGCCCAAAGTACATCATCCAAGTACGCAAAGTAAATCAAAAGCGATTATTGTAAAACTTTCCACTCTCGCTTATGACTGCCTCCCGGGACGATAAAAATAATCCGCATTATCACTCACGATATAGAACCCTAAGGCTGTGTCCATATTGAAGTTATTCCAAGTGATATTTATTTATTTCAGGCATACATAGGCAATAATAATATAAATTGTGCCACGGCACTGATGACGGCAATCTGTCACGGAAGCGCCAATACACCAACACCGCTATTGGCCAGTAGTCCTCCTTTATGAAGGTGGGCAGCATGTTAGTACGCCACGAATGCCTTGAAACTCGCGTTGCAACTCGGCTTTAGCTGCGTCTCCCTCAATGGCAGGTTACTTCTGGTCCGTATGTAGACAAATTTCTGATCTTTAGTATCGTATAGGTAGGACAGGTGCATTGCCGTGGTCGGTGTAGCAGCACGCAGCAGGAAGTTGGACCTAATGAGTGCAGTGCCACAGTGGTTCTGATTGACCCTTTTTATGCGCCTTTTTTTATGTACTTCGATGAAGCCTACATCATTATAATGGAATGGAACGGCCTGAGATAATCGTTTACGCTGGTGTAGCACCATTGGAGGATGATAAGATGAGCATGAGATCAGGTCAGTTAGCACATCATGACAAATTCACCAAGAATTTATCACTATAGTTCCCAGGGTCAACCTGACGTGGTACTTGCTACCTATGTGGTCAAAAGTCCACTAAAATTTCCCTTCCCCAAATTCTTGTATAAGGAGTAGTGGGAAGCCCCTGACTACCTTCTCCGTGATAAAATGCGTGAAAGTATGTTCTATAAGTAAGAACCAAAATATTCTACTACATTATGTCTTGTATTAAACTAGGAATCTCTGATGGTAAGTGATTACCGCGCACATAAGCACCTACAAGATCACAGGAATTGCAGTTGCGTTGCCGGCCTTTTAAGAAAGAATAAGGTCTTTTCTTGAAGGTTTCAATATCATATCGATTGGAAGGTGATTCCACAATGTGGTTCTACATGGTAAAATGTTTCTAGAAAACCGCACTGTTGAGGACCGCCATTCCAGGCGATCAGGATGATATTTTAGTTTCTGGCGGGTACGGTGGTGAAAATCAGCAGCTGGTATTAATCCGAACAATTCCTCAGAACACTCCCCGTGATATATGCGGTAGAAAATGCACAGAGATGCAATATCTCGCCGAGCCAATGGGTCGAGTCTGTCACAAAGACGTTGATTAAGTTATTGAGTTTCTAGATAGAGGAGGACCGTTAATTCATTCATAATTTAAGAGCTGTGCTCTTGTCGGT